TATACTTTATATATAATGTAACATATATTTTGTAAACAAACACAAAGATATTTATGACTTGTATGTAATAATTTCCTTTTTCCCATGCGATGTGCCATTGGAAGAAGAGGTCAGTGACGTCACATCCTGTGTTCTGGAGGGGCCCCCAGGCACAGTACAGGCAGGCCCGGATTTCACACAAGGCCCGGCCTCGGGGCGGCAGGGCGCAGAGGGGCGGCAGCGGTGTGGAGTCCCCCGACGCCCGGAACATAAAGTTCTGGGCGTGTAAGATGCCTTGTGGGGAATGCGCTCGTACGTTTACAGGTGATCGTGGCGATGTCGGGACGTGCAGTCGGGGGGGCAGGGGTGGCGGAGCCCCACCTAGTATTGTGGAGATTCAAGTCTGAAGCTGGCAGCTTTTTCCTCATTCAGAGCGGCTTGTAAGAGGTTACAGAGCAGGGAAATCCTCTGACCATTGTTGGATGTCCTGGATGGGGGGTGTCTCTGCACACGGTAGACGTGCTATACTACAATATAAAACTGTGTAACCTCAGGACCTACGTTTGTCCTCGGTCATTAAGTCATGACCCATGTCACCCTGCACTGGAACGTACGGCATTGCGCTACTGCGCGTTCCGGTGCGGGCGATCGCACTGTGGGAGGGAGGTGCGTTTGTGGCGCCATTAAAATGAATAGCAATGCAACACACCTCCCGCACCGAATACGCGGCGGGTGCGATTGCGTGGTACAGTGCATCAATAGCGCAGGACTGTGTGATTAACGCACTGTACTAGTGTGAACGGACCCTAAAAAACACCGACAGGCACACACAACCACAGACACAATCTCACAGATATTCTCACACACACATACACACTCCCTCGCGGCCATAGCCCCCAGCCCACCCCACCTCAAGCTGACACTCGGCACCGGGCGGTGTTCCGCCCCAATAGGGGCATAGAATATGAGATGCATAGCCTCAGTTAATATTAGCATTGTAGGCATATTTTGAATAGCTGCTTGGCGCGAGGACTGACAGTGCTGTGCTAGGGGGAGGCTGAGGAGCCTCTCACCTAGAAAAGTGGAAGGCACAATCATTGTCAGAGACATTTGGGCGTCCGCTACGGGCACCCAGGGCCGCAGGTTTAGACGTATATTCGGTTATTAAAATTGACCGTTTACAATATACAGTTACACAAAATTATCTTCACATTTTTGTCAGGTTATATTTTGCATAATTGTTCCCATTAATGGGCCTCTCCAAGAAAATAAACACCCTGTATGACTTTTATAAATGTCCAGTAGATGAATATAAGGAATAAAAATACTAAAATAGCTCAAAAATAATTCCTTTCATAATGCTTTTTTTTTTTTTAATGACCGTTGACGCGTCCTCGTAATGTATCACCGCTGCCCCTCCCCCTCTCTGGTTACATAGAAATGATTAGTCTTCTTTTTAAGGAATACTCCGGGAGGCCCCCAACAATTTCCACGCGTTCCTCGTTTGTCAGGTGACTTGATGTCGGCTTCCCCTTCCCCTCCGTCTCTCAGGCAGAAGGCAGATAATAATAATCACATTATAGAGAACATTAAATCTCTTCACTCTTCAGCTGTTTCCATCGGAACGAGGAATCCAAGTGGAAGTCTTCCTTCTCCTGCTCTTTAGCCAACTCAAGGAAGACCTGTTAGTAAACAAACAACACATTTTAGAACACGCCCCCTCTTACATTCATTAGCATAGCCAGGAAAATCAAGCAAGTTGGTAAAGATAAACCTTCAGGCTTTTTATTTCCTTCATCTGCTGCCCCCTGAGACCCTCACTGGTATTCTCACCCGCCTGCCTGATGCCCGAGAAATGATACCTGCCAAGTTGCCCCTCTCCTCGTATACTCAGATACTTTGTGTTCTACTAATAGTCAGCTTTATGGAACAATACCGGACAACCTACACAGCAACAATAACCAAGCAGGAGTGTTATCACCATGTCTGTCTGTGTTCATTGGATGTGAGCTGTGTTACCTGCTCCAGGGTGGACTGGGAGAAGCTGTACTCCTCCATGTCATAGGCTTGCTTAGCTGTGGAAAGACAATACGGAAAGATCAGCCACCTCAGTCACATCCTGGCGGGTCATTCACAATGATTGTCGGCTCCATTCCAAACTCTACAATCTTACCATTCTCCAGCTGTAAGAAGGCCTGGGACAGAGACCGTACATTATCCATCGGGATCTTATAGACCAACAATGAGGAGAACCTGTGGGGAAGAGACAGACATTACAGCTAAACGTCCATTAAACCCAACACAGCTATACAGTAAAGGGCACCTGTCATCCATCAATTGGTTTGGGAAATAAATAGAGGATCCCTTATGTTATTTACTTTGAGATTCATCAGCACATGGGTCCTGAGGAACTCATATTACGTGGGATCCAGAAGATCTGTCATTCCTAGACTTTTATAGTATCACTTGTGTCCTGTCATTGCTGGGATCTAGGGGCCCCTTACCACTGTGACTCTGTTATAACCAACAATCCTGAAATCTGATAATAACTTGGAGAGAAGGCTCAGTCACTACTGGCGGTCTTGGACTCTTCCCAGGAATTAGTTGCATTACCTGTCCTGCCTGGCGGCTTGTGGGAAGAGGCGGAGGACCTCCTGGTGGATCACATCTACCAGCTGGGTGTCCTTCAGTTTGATCTCCAGGAGGTAACCTTTACCATATTTGCTCTTCAGATGCTGGATGGATCCGATACACCTGAGAGAGAAATGCTGTGAGATATTATCTCATTCCAGAAGAATGAACCCAGCAACTGTTATAATGTTTCCAATACATATGATGTGTTGTGACAAGTTTTACATCAAAACAATGGTTCTGTTATAGAAAGTGACTTTATGGAATTGATGTAGAACAAGGTGGAGGATGGGGAGAGGGTGATACCAAAGCGAAGTAATTCTGCATTTCATTATCCTTCTTCATGTCTCTGCAATTAGATTTTTGAGCTCGCAGTATAGCTTCCCCCCCCCATGGCACTGGTATGTAGCATCAGGTATATAGGATCAGGTATATAGGATCAGGTATGTAGGATCAGGTATGTAGGATCAGGTATGTAGCATCAGGTATGTAGGATCAGGTATGTAGCATCAGGTATATAGGATCAGGTATATAGGATCAGGTATATAGGATCAGGTATATAGGATCAGGTATGTAGGATCAGGTATATAGGATCAGGTATATAGGATCAGGTATATAGGATCAGGTATGTAGGATCAGGTATGTAGGATCAGGTATGTAGGATCAGGTATATAGGATCAGGTATGTGGGATCAGGTATGGGGGATCAGGTATATAGGATCAGGTATATAGGATCAGGTATATAGGATCAGGTATGTAGGATCAGGTATGTAGGATCAGGTATGTAGGATCAGGTATATAGGATCAGGTATGTAGGATCAGGTATGTAGGATCAGGTATATAGGATCAGGTATGTAGGATCAGGTATGTAGGATCAGGTATGTAGGATCAGGTATGTGGGATCAGGTATGGGGGATCAGGTATATAGGATCAGGTATATAGGATCAGGTATATAGGATCAGGTATGTGGGATCAGGTATGTAGGATCAGGTATGTAGGATCAGGTATGTGGGATCAGGTATATAGGATCAGGTATGTAGGATCAGGTATGGGGGATCAGGTATGTAGGATCAGGTATATAGGATCCGGTATGTAGGATCAGGTATGTAGGATCCGGTATGTAGGATCAGGTATGTAGGATCCGGTATGTAGGATCAGGTATGTAGGATCCGGTATGTAGGATCAGGTATGTAGGATCCGGTATGTAGGATCAGGTATGTAGGATCCGGTATGTAGGATCAGGTATGTAGGATCCGGTATGTAGGATCAGGTATGTAGGATCCGGTATGTAGGATCAGGTATGTAGGATCCGGTATGTAGGATCAGGTATGTAGGATCCGGTATGTAGGATCAGGTATGTAGGATCCGGTATGTAGGATCAGGTATGTAGGATCCGGTATGTAGGATCAGGTATGTAGGATCCGGTATGTAGGATCAGGTATGTAGGATCCGGTATGTAGGATCAGGTATGTAGGATCCGGTATGTAGGATCAGGTATGTAGGATCCGGTATGTAGGATCAGGTATGTAGGATCCGGTATGTAGGATCAGGTATGTAGGATCCGGTATGTAGGATCAGGTATGTAGGATCCGGTATGTAGGATCAGGTATGTAGGATCCGGTATGTAGGATCAGGTATGTAGGATCCGGTATGTAGGATCAGGTATGTAGGATCCGGTATGTAGGATCAGGTATGTAGGATCCGGTATGTAGGATCAGGTATGTAGGATCCGGTATGTAGGATCAGGTATGTAGGATCCGGTATGTAGGATCAGGTATGTAGGATCCGGTATGTAGGATCAGGTATGTAGGATCCGGTATGTAGGATCAGGTATGTAGGATCCGGTATGTAGGATCAGGTATGTAGGATCCGGTATGTAGGATCAGGTATGTAGGATCCGGTATGTAGGATCAGGTATGTAGGATCCGGTATGTAGGATCAGGTATGTAGGATCCGGTATGTAGGATCAGGTATGTAGGATCCGGTATGTAGGATCAGGTATGTAGGATCCGGTATGTAGGATCAGGTATGTAGGATCCGGTATGTAGGATCAGGTATGTAGGATCCGGTATGTAGGATCAGGTATGTAGGATCCGGTATGTAGGATCAGGTATGTAGGATCCGGTATGTAGGATCAGGTATGTAGGATCCGGTATGTAGGATCAGGTATGTAGGATCCGGTATGTAGGATCAGGTATGTAGGATCCGGTATGTAGGATCAGGTATGTAGGATCCGGTATGTAGGATCAGGTATGTAGGATCCGGTATGTAGGATCAGGTATGTAGGATCCGGTATGTAGGATCAGGTATGTAGGATCCGGTATGTAGGATCAGGTATGTAGGATCCGGTATGTAGGATCAGGTATGTAGGATCCGGTATGTAGGATCAGGTATGTAGGATCCGGTATGTAGGATCAGGTATGTAGGATCCGGTATGTAGGATCAGGTATGTAGGATCCGGTATGTAGGATCAGGTATGTAGGATCCGGTATGTAGGATCAGGTATGTAGGATCCGGTATGTAGGATCAGGTATGTAGGATCCGGTATGTAGGATCAGGTATGTAGGATCCGGTATGTAGGATCAGGTATGTAGGATCCGGTATGTAGGATCAGGTATGTAGGATCCGGTATGTAGGATCAGGTATGTAGGATCCGGTATGTAGGATCAGGTATGTAGGATCCGGTATGTAGGATCAGGTATGTAGGATCCGGTATGTAGGATCAGGTATGTAGGATCCGGTATGTAGGATCAGGTATGTAGGATCCGGTATGTAGGATCAGGTATGTAGGATCCGGTATGTAGGATCAGGTATGTAGGATCCGGTATGTAGGATCAGGTATGTAGGATCCGGTATGTAGGATCAGGTATGTAGGATCCGGTATGTAGGATCAGGTATGTAGGATCCGGTATGTAGGATCAGGTATGTAGGATCCGGTATGTAGGATCAGGTATGTAGGATCCGGTATGTAGGATCAGGTATGTAGGATCCGGTATGTAGGATCAGGTATGTAGGATCCGGTATGTAGGATCAGGTATGTAGGATCCGGTATGTAGGATCAGGTATGTAGGATCCGGTATGTAGGATCAGGTATGTAGGATCCGGTATGTGGGATCAGGTATGTGGGATCAGGTATGTAGGATTAATTTTCTAGATACAATATAAAAAGAAATCCTTACTTCCATTACTGGCTTCCTAAAAGTTTCACCTGACTGTCTTGGAGTATTTTCGTCTCACCTGAGCTTTCCAGACACCATGATTGCGACGCGGTCACACACAGCCTCGGCCTCTTCCATATAGTGTGTGGTCAGAATGGCGCCTCTCTCCTTGTTCTTGAAGGCCGCTCGGATGGCTCTCCTTAAACACACAAGAAAAGCCTCGGGTGTCTCATACTTTTGTATACACACCTCCTAGTATAGTGCATGTGTTGTAGGAATGTAATATACACCGTAAGGAGATAGACATGACCAGGCTGATGTGCACTATGACTACACAGTAACAAGTCCCTGAAATCTCATGTGAGGAGCGCTAATCTCATTTCTTCTGCTCTGTCTGATAGCGCTGATGACGGAATGCCATGTGTCAGCAAAGAACACCAATCAATACACATCTGACTATGTGGGAACACATACATGAACATGAAGAAGGCTGGCATGCTGTACGCCATGAAGAGTGCTGAAACCATTGGCTGTGTCGCAGTAAGAATCAGGAGTTATATCAGGAAAGAAGCAGAAGACCACTTTAAGGTATTAGCACCTTGGTCAGCTTGTGAGAAGACTCACCAAAGCCTTTGTTGTCCTTTTGGGTCCAGACCAGTTGATGGTTCATCCAGTAGAGCGATGGTGGGATTACCCAGCATGCTGATGGCAAAACACACCTAAAGAACAACAACAAGGTCAATTCCAGCTTATACTATGTTGGCTTAAAGTGACACTAAAGGCAAGACTTAAATGAAAAAATACATTCCAGTCCCTGAACTCTGAGCAACAATGTATCTTATTTGTGTATCACTCGGCTGCAGATCCTGCAATCAGCTCTGACACTGTCCTTCCTTCTGGAGGGTGGCTACGTCTGTTCCCCATGGTCCCTGTGTGTGTTGTAAAGTAGTCACCGCTCCGAGCTCCCTCCCGGGATGGACTACAATCTCACGTTTAGTTTACTGATTTGTATTGAGATTGTAGTCCATCCCGGGGAGGAGCTTGGAGCGGTGACTACTTTACAACACACGGGGAACAAAAGTAGCCCCCCTCCAGAAGGAAGGACAGTGTCAGCACCAATTCAGAGATGATTGGAGGATCTACGGCCGAGTGATAGACAAAAAAAGAGATATTTTTGTTAACAGTTAAGGTACTTGAATGGATTTTTAAGCTATAACTCCGGAGTTTAGTGTCACTTTAAACAACTCTGCAAATCCTCTTCACATATTTGGAATTTCTCATCATCTGCTCGATTGAGCAAGGTAACAAAACACCTTCCAGGACAACAACACACCTTTCTGGAGACCCCGGCTGACAACTTCTTGGCAGGTTTATTGAGATGGTCCTTCATCTCCAGAGCTTCACTCACCCTGCAGACCAAAGTATGGACACATAATGACAACAACAAACCAGTCAGGTTTTTTAAAACTGTGAGGGTTAGTAAGATGTATAGAAAGAGGTTTATCCCCATGGTCCCTGTGTGTGTTGTAAAGTAGTCACCGCTCCGAGCTCCCTCCCGGGATGGACTACAATCTCACGTTTAGTTTACTGATTTGTATTGAGATTGTAGTCCATCCCGGGGAGGAGCTTGGAGCGGTGACTACTTTACAACACACGGGGAACAAAAGTAGCCCCCCTCCAGAAGGAAGGACAGTGTCAGCACCAATTCAGAGATGATTGGAGGATCTACGGCCGAGTGATAGACAAAAAAAGAGATATTTTTGTTAACAGTTAAGGTACTTGAATGGATTTTTAAGCTATAACTCCGGAGTTTAGTGTCACTTTAAACAACTCTGCAAATCCTCTTCACATATTTGGAATTTCTCATCATCTGCTCGATTGAGCAAGGTAACAAAACACCTTCCAGGACAACAACACACCTTTCTGGAGACCCCGGCTGACAACTTCTTGGCAGGTTTATTGAGATGGTCCTTCATCTCCAGAGCTTCACTCACCCTGCAGACCAAAGTATGGACACATAATGACAACAACAAACCAGTCAGGTTTTTTAAAACTGTGAGGGTTAGTAAGATGTATAGAAAGAGGTTTATAGGGAAAATGGCGTCACACAGATGGCTTGTCAAAGCTACGTCAGAGCTGAGCTGTTAGTGGCCTTGAAGTGCTGGTTGGGTTTCATTCTGACAAGGCCGCGGTCTGCATATAATTTGTATAGGTTTGTGTGAGTTTCCCCTAGACCCTGGTTTTCACCCACAACTTAAAGTATAATGGTGGAGCCAACGTCACTGTAGGTAGGATGGTCAAGGCCCAAAAATATGGTGAGGTCCAAAAATATGGTGAGGCCCAAAAATATGGTGAGGCCCAAAAATATGGTGAGGCCCAAAAATATGGTGAGGCCCAAAAATATGGCTCCTGATGAGCATCATGATGAAGATCTGATGCTGAGTTAAGTTACCGTTTGATAGCGTAGTTTGCGTCCTCTTTCTTCATGCCCTTCACCGCAGCATAGATCTCCAGATGTTCCTTCACAGTGAGGTTTGGCCAGAGAGGGTTGTTTTGTGGACAGTAGCCCAGTGATCCAGACTCTTCAGTCCCCCGAGAGTCCCCTGCATTGCCCAGCACCACCTGTAAGGGGCAGTCAGTGAAGGTGAGATACATCGAATGTCAAACTGGACATTTGCTCAAGACCCACCAGGAACGACGTCCATCATAAGACTTAAGGACCTCTGGTTAGCTAAGCATGAGAAACTCAAATGTCCAATCTATGAAGGTTCATAAACCTTGTTCTGAAAGGGAGTGATAAGTTACTGAGATCTCACATTTTCTTTGTTTTTTTTTTGGATCTGAACCCAAGGCCTCTGCTGTGTCTGGCGGTGGCTCTACCTACTGAGCCACTCTGAAACCTTGGATAGCTCCTTGCCTGATCTCCTGTGTGATCCTCAGGTAAACCTAGTTTCTGCTGAACTCTGAACTCCTTGCTCCTCCCTTGAACTTCTTATTTAAGCCACGCCTCTGCACTTCCTGTTTGCCATATTATTGTGCTTCTGCCAATATCTTGCTTCCTGCTCCCTCTGTGATACAATTCTCTCATACTGCTACCCGTGTGCCAACCTTTGGCTGCTGATTCACCGACTACTCTCATCGTCTTCCACTTCATACCCGATACCTTTGGCTACTGACCTCGGCTTGTTCGCTGACTACGCTTCTGCCGGCTCCTCCACTACTACCGCCTGCTTGTGTACTGAACCCGGCCTGTTATACCGTCAATTTGCCGGCTGTTTCAGCTACTGGACTCCGAGCCTGAGCCCAGATCGTGACAGAACCTATACATGAGCCCTGAAGTCTTCTACTGCCTGACGATTTCACGTCTCACCTGTCCAGCCGTTGGCTTCATCTCTCCAGCCAGAATCAGCACAGACGTGGTCTTCCCGGCTCCATTGGGGCCCAGAAGTCCCAGAACTTCACCTTCAAAAGAAAAGAAACAGACAAAACTGATAAAATGACTGCAGATGTTCCTCATTTATCAATCTCTGAAAGAAGAACTGTCTGTCCTCCTCCTAGAAACCAATCAGAGTCGCCGTCTAAGTCACTGGAAGGCAATGATCTGAGTGTTGGAGGGTCAATGTATTTCTATTATTGGAGACTTTAACCTGAAACGTGTTTTGTTGTAAAAACATGAATACGTGACCTTTACATACGAGGTGACAAGCAGACCTGCACTGTCATATGATCTATCTGCCTTCTCTGCCCGGGCCCCTTACATGAGTATCGGCCGTACCCCCCTGATGGCGGCCCTGAACAGACCTGCACTGTCATATGATCTCTCTGCCTTCTCTGCCCGGGCCCCTTACATGAGTATCGGCCGTACCCCCCTGATGGCGGCCCTGAACAGACCTGCACTGTCATATGGACTCTCTGTCTTCTCTGCCCGGGCCCCTTACATGAGTATTGACCGTACCCCCCTGATGGCGGCCCTGAACAGACCTGCACTGTCATATGGACTCTCTGTCTTCTCTGCCCGGGCCCCTTACATGAGTATTGACCGTACCCCCCTGATGGCGGCCCTGAACAGACCTGCACTCCCCTTTCAGGGGATTAACAATGGATCCAGGAGGTCTTTGTGCACATTTCCAGCCACACAAGGCTGTTTAGACCCCATGGACTCTTTGGTGGACGTCATTAAAAGAAATAGAAATGAAGAGGAATTGACCTTTCTTGACGCAGAACGAGGTGTGGCTGACGGCCGTTCTCTTCTTCTTCTTCTTGATACATCCGCAGGTGCCTGACTTCTCCTCAAACTCTTTGCGCAGACTGTCCACAAGGATGGCCGGCCTCTTAAAGTGTAAAAACACAAATTCAATGTGTGATTTGATTCTGAAGGATATCTGCTTGTCGTGACATTTCTTATTGATACCAATTCATACACCCGGGCCAATGGAGGCGGAGTCACATGTCACTGTCTATTCCTATCTTTTCTCTGCTCTCCTCATATCAACACAGCACTGTCACATGGGGAGACTGACTTCTGCCATTCACTCCTGCACCCCACCTCCTCTCTGGTCAGCCAGCAGGGTAGCCACTCCCACTGCCAGCCTGATTTAAGGGCTTCAGGTGGTGTTCAGGCCCTGATGTGTTATTTCATATACAGGAGGGTTGTGTTATTTCATATACAGGAGGGTTGTGTTATTTAATATACAGGAGAGTTGTGTTATTTCATATACAGGAGGGTTGTGTTATTCCATATACAGGAGAGTTGTGATATTTCATATATAGGAGGGTTGTGTTATTTCATATACAGTAGAGTTGTGTTATTCCATATACAGGAGAGTTGTGTTATTTCATATACAGGAGGGTTGTGTTATTCCATATACAGGAGAGTTGTGTTATTTCATATACAGGAGGGTTGTGTTATTTCATATACAGTAGAGTTGTGTTATTCCATATACAGGAGGGTTGTGTTATTTCATATACAGGAGGGTTGTGTTATTTCATATACAGGAGGGTTGTGTTATTTCATATACAGGAGGGTTGTGTTATTTCATATACAGGAGGGTTGTGTTATTTCATATACAGGAGGGTTGTGTTATTTCATATACAGGAGGGTTGTGTTATTTCATATACAGGAGGGTTGTGTTATTTCATATACAGGAGGGTTGTGTTATTTCATATACAGGAGGGTTGTGTTATTTCATATACAGGAGGGTTGTGTTATTTCATATACAGGAGGGTTGTGTTATTTCATATACAGGAGGGTTGTGTTATTTCATATACAGGAGGGTTGTGTTATTTCATATACAGGAGGGTTGTGTTATTTCATATACAGGAGGGTTGTGTTATTTCATATACAGGAGGGTTGTGTTATTTCATATACAGGAGGGTTGTGTTATTTCATATACAGGAGAGTTGTGTTATTTCATATACAGGAGGGTTGTGTTATTTCATATACAGGAGGGTTGTGTTATTTCATATACAGGAGGGTTGTGTTATTCCATATACAGGAGGGTTGTGTTATTTCACATACAGGAGGGTTGTGTTATGTGTAGTTACACAATGCTTATGTGTTTAGCGATAATTCAGTGAAAATATAAATATTACCTCCTCAGCCCGATCTGTTGTTTTCAGAGCGTTAACCCTTTCTTTCTCAGCCAGGACCTCCTCGTCGGCGTCGTCAAGCTCCTCGGGATTCTGGGTAAATGGATGTTCTCTCTTGGTAAATCTGAAGGAAGAGAGCAAAGTGTTCTGGAAGTAGTTCTGCTTTAGCCCATGAAAAAAAGAAACACAATGAATTTGGTTTATAAGCCATTCACAGGACCCTTCTCCCTGCAGATCTCTGGGGGCGTTCCTCCTGTGCTATGTATGTACCAACCAATGGGGCAAATGGCTGACTTGGCATTGTGATGTACACGGTTTATGAACCCACCTGAATACCGGATCTTGCTTTAAACTTCTGCTCCCAATCCGCCATTCCAAAAACCACAGGAGGCCCCAGAATATGACAACTTGAACGTACGGCTGAAGAGGAAGCAGAGAGTGTCAGAAACTGAACTTCTGTGATAAATCCAAAATGGTCACCACCCATAGAAGGCCAAGCAACAGGTT